GACAGGGCTGGGGAGAGGAAATGAAATGAAAATGGGTCAGGAGTGGGAGGCCTGGGCTGAAGCAATTCCTTGTGGTGCCAGGGTCCATTTAAGAGGCAAAACAGCAGCACATTGCCAAGAGGGTGTAAGAAAGGCTGTTTTCATGGTCCAAACCGAGCAAACTGGCCTTTCCAGCAGCCTCCTCCTCCTCCTCAGTAGCACCTGAATCCCATGTGTCCTGCCTCCCTGCTGGAATGTCTTTCTCCCTTTGCTTCCACATGGAACCAGCGGGCAGAGAAGTGGAACAGGGATTCTTAAAGGAGAGAACTTTTTATCATTGGAAGTAAAATAATATTCTTCCTGATGGGAAATCCTTCTGGATTTCAGGGTGTCGTTTTAGCCTTTTCTCTGCTGGAAAATAACCAGCTGAGAAGCATCTGAAGGTGTCAGGATAAAACCATGCAAAGGAGTCACCCAGAATAGCACTGCCATAATTTTTCCTGCCTTGGAAAGGTTCTGGGGTGGTGCAGCACCACGATCATGGGGACAAAGCTTGGGTGGATATTCAGTGTCTGGAATGATTATTGCTGTTTGTGGTGTCCTGTTGGAAATGGGGCGATGCTCAGGTGGCTGCAGTGGGAATTCTTCACCATGTAAAGGTGAGGCAGGAAGACCAAAATGGTACCCTCTGGCTCAGCATGGCCTGGTGCCAGGTGATGGCCAGGCTCAGAGCCTCTCTGCCAGCTCTGTTGGGATAGTGAAGGCTCCACATGTTCCATGTGCAGCCTGGACAGGGAACACGAAGTCTAAACCAGTAATCTTGGGATCATTGTGTCACCCTCACAAATAACATTTATTTTACTGCCTCGTTTGAAAACGTTTCCAGTTTTGGTGTTTTGATTCAGTTGCACTAACAGGAAAAACTTCCCCTGCTCACAGGCCATGTGGCTCCTTGGATTCTGCATGTAAAGCTGGGAATTTAATGGACTCTCCTGTAGGAAGGAATGCATTAACTACAGGTCAGCAAACTCTGCTTATTGGGTTGTTTCACACCAAGAGCTGTTATTACCCCGTTGCTTTTAAGGTGCCTGCTTAGAGGTAATTATTTAGTGTGTCCAAAGCCATGTGGAATTCCAGCACAGCCTCTGCTCACTGGCGTTAATGATGCAGCACAGCCACAGCTCCTTGTTCCCCCCAGTTTGCCCTTGGGACAACTGACTCTCAGAGACTGAGGAGTTTTTGATAATGTTCCTTTTCTTTTTCACTTGTCAGGGCTTGGCATGTGGTTTCTCTGGATTTGTCACTCATTCAAAATTAATTCAAAAAAGATCTTTTTTTGTTTCAATTTCCCTTTAGGATTGAAATTCCAGCCTGTTCTATAACAGGCGTAGAAACCATGAGCCTGGATCTATTTTTACTCTTTGACACGATATTACGTGTTTTCCCACGATGAGACTTGTAATCAGTGTGGGAATTTATACCAGAGTTGAGCCCAGAATTGTGTAAAATTCCCTTTTTTCTGTTTGGATGGAAGGGGAGAGGACACGTCAGGGAATGGCCTCGTTTGACAGTGAGCTGGGAGGGAACTCCAGTAGGGACAAGAATTGGCCTGGCACGACCCCTGACTCTTCTGGGGTGTCTCTGTGGGCCTGCAGGAATGGAGCGTGTCCAAAATTTTGGGAAGTCTCAGTGCTTTTAGAAAGTCGATCCTACGTGACGTGTCCATTGCTGGGCTTGAGCATCTGTGGTGGAATCAACAAGTGAACCCAGATCATCCAACTTCCTCCCACTCACAGGTCACTGGAGGCATCCTGGCCTGTCGGGCACCAGACTGTTCCTCATAAAACATTCCAGAGACTTGCAGGTACCCGAGGAGGAAAGCGAGGAGGGAGGTGTTTTCCACCCCATGGATGTGGTGTGTAATTACTGGAGACGGATCCTGATTCTCTGTGTTGCTCATCGCTGCTGTGTCTAAGAATTCCTTGATATTCAAAGTGCCCCAACCAAGCCAGGTTTGCATAATGTGATTAAATTAGGAAATGATATTTCACGCCTGTATATTACAGTGTGCACACAAACACTTTCATCCTGTGTCGGGGCGTCGCTTGCTCGGCTCTGATACTGTGCTCCAGAGGATGTCTGCAAATGGAATTATTTCAGGATAGTTATCCTAAATAACCCCATGTAGGGAAACCTGTATTGTAGCACAAAAGCACCTTACTCCCCTTTATCATAATCCATTTAAATGTGGATTATGCTGATGCAGAACAGGGCGCTCCTACTTTGGAATAATTTTAAATAGGAATAGTTTTTTGTGCTTTTGGCTCACACCCTGAATTATCCAAACTGGCTTTGAAGTGTAAACAAGCCTCTGATGTGTCTGTAGTTTTTCCATTCTGCTCCCTGGCTCCTCCCTGTTCCTTGGCTCTTCCTTTGGGATGGTCCAGAGCAAAACCAGACCTGCAGAGCCCGTCATTTAGGTCTTTGCTTTCACAAACCTCATACCAATCCAATTCCCAATTTAAATGCCTCCCTAAGCTTTGAAGGGAATATTTAAATGCAAGTTTCTGATGCTGAGCCGTCCCCACAAATTATATTAGGACATGAAATGTTTCCTTTCACACTTTTCTGAAAGGAAGGAGGTTTGTTTCAAACCTCCCGTGGGCCCTTTTGGGGCAGTTTGGGGTTTTCCTCTGTTACCATCAGCCTATTGTGCATCTCCAGAGAAACTCAACAGGTACCTCTCTGAGAAGGTCCAATATAGGGAGTGCTGCCCTGGCTCGGTCCCATTCCAGCTGTCCAGCCTCTGGCTGTGAGGAGCCATGGATGTGTAGGGAAGACTCCCTAAAATCACCCTCTTCCATTGTGTCAAAGGCCAGTTTTACACCTCCTTCCATGGAACATCACAGCTTCTCACCTGAGACAGGTAAGACTCACTTGTTCAGAGCTGCTTCCTGACCATTCCACGGGGTCCTGCCTCTCGTTTTGGTGTCACCTTTCCCTGTTTGTGTTCCTTTATCTGGCAGTTTTCCACACCTCTGTCACACACTGCTGATGTGCTTCCTCCTGCAGCTCTACCCCTTGGTCCTGCCTCCCATGGCAGCTGTTCCCACCTGAGATCCCCCTGGATTTACCAGCTGGACTCAGGACAGAGTGGCCCTGGGCACACACAGATGTCCTGCAGCAGGGTCTGTTCTCTGCTCTGTCAATCCTTTTCCAACCATTCCCATCGGATTTGTTTCCGAGCTCTGAGAGCACGAGGTGGCTGGAACAGCAGCTGACCTGGAGCTTCATTGCCTGCAGATTAGTGGGGTTCCTTTATCTTCTAATTTATCACTGATACCATGAGGTCCTTCTGCAGGTCTTCACAGACAGGTTTAGATTTGACTACCCTGAGTAGTTCTGAAACATCAGCAGACACATCATCTCACTGCTCATCTCCAGCGGCGCCGGTTGGCTCAGCACCAGGGCTGGGGACTCTGGGACATGAACTCCAGCTCCTGTCACTCCCTGAGCTCCCTTTGGGGTGTCAGGCAAACCCCAGCCATGAAACTGGAGGATTCTTTCTTAAATCTGTATGATTCCTATATAATTAATCCACATAATCTGTTTCAAGGTGCAACCACAGGGGCCGAGGATCCTTCTCACAAAGACGATGGAGGTGCTTTCTTCAAATAAAAAGAGGTTTATTAAGAGAATGAGAATGACATTGTGGTGTGGGTGTCGTACATCTATTGCAGCATTAAGAGAAACAACAGCAAGTACAAAATCCTGCAGAACTTCTAGAGTTATCATCATCACAGCCTAGCCTGTCCATGCTACAGTTTGGTGGATCCAAAACTTCATTCCCATTTCTAATGGCAGAAAATCCAAAGATTTTCATCTTTCAAAAAAAAAAAAAAAACAAAAACCAAACCAAAACAAAAGAAGCAACCCAAAACAAGCAAACAAACAAAAAAGGCAAAACAAAAAAAAACCCAACTCAGTTTGATATAAATAACTTGCACTGGACATTTTAAAACTTTCAGATTTTAATTACACATAAATAAATATATACAGATTTAGAACAGTTCAGTTTGGCCTGGTTCAAGTTCTGCTCCTTGTGCTTTATTAACTATTATTGTTTGTTTTAGAAACTTGTGTGCTGCTATCTGCAGGTTGTGGAGGTTTAATTAGTCCTGGGTTTAACTTCACCTGCCTTGTCCCCAGCCACGAGGGCAGCGGTCGGGAGGGCTCTCCTTGGGACCTGGTGGCTGGGGGGTTGTTCCTCCCTCGTGCCAAGGCTTGGGGCTCCTCAGCCCATGGGAAAATCCACAGTGAGTCTCAGTTTGAAGCTGTAAACAGAGTCTGAACCCGCTTTAAATCCAAAGCAGTTCTTCTGGCAATTTTCCTTGGCCTGGCGTTAGGGATGGGCTGTAGGTGGGGAAGGGGGAAGGTTTCCTGTGTGTTTGCCTCAAAACCAGTGGATAAATCCAGGTGCAGCCAGCGCTCCATCCCCCTGCCCTTGGCTGCTCCTGCTCTGGGTCTTGCACTGACGAGGCTTCTCCTCTTTCCTCTCAGTTTTTCAGCTGAAGCAAATTCCCGGAGCACTTCAGGATTTCACTACGGGT